TCTTGAGGTCTTCGCCTCAAATCATCCTCCCACCTCAGTCTCCTGAGTGGCTGGGACGACAGTGGATGTCACTGGGCCTGGCTAGCCTCATGACCGTTTCACAGGAAACACTACCCAATGCTCTCTTCCCTAACCGCACTTTGATGGTCTTGCCGTACTGGCAAATTGATCTTGACTATGAACTTCAGTGGCCACATAACATTCCACAAAGAAGATGGACCATAATTCGATCACTGTTTCCCTTGGAGCTCCCTTAACCATCCCTTCGCCACATTCAATCACAAGGGCACAATTTCAGCTAGGGCCACTCCTGCCAGTCAGCCCCTCCTCCCACCAGGCCTACAGCGCTGCCGTTGTTCAACCCAGGCTTTTATGCTTCCTCCACGGTTCTCAAGTTCCTAAAGAGCAGGGAGGATTCCACCCATACCCTCTGCCCGTGAGAACACGGTGGCTGGCGCTAGTTAGCTCCTGTTTTCTGAGTGAGTGAATGAATGAAGACAACTTTTCCTTTACCCAGGACAACCTATTGGTGGAACCCTGCCAGCATCCTGATGGGGAAGGATTTGGGGCTGGGCATTTAGGGGGCTCTGACTTTCTGCTGCTGCTGCTTCTTGGTTGCCGCCGCACGCACAGATTACACAGAATGAGGAGCGCTTTTCTGAGGACGATTTCATCTTGCAGTTAAGGTGCTAAGGTTTAGAAGGGACCATGGCCCACCCTGGGTCTCATAGACCTGGGGCCTTTTACCTCCCTGACCAGGGCCTCTTCCTTAAATCACAGCCTCTCCACACTCCTCTTGCTTTTCAACCTTTGCACAACCTGGCCAGGCCTTGAGCCTTTCGGCCAGCAGCTGCATCCTTTGGGTCCTGGTTCCTGGGCTGGCCTGGAGTCCTACCTCTGCATCTCAGCCTCATGCCAACTTTGCCAGCCCCGTTCCACCACGTTCAGAGTCCTGCCACAACCCACACCACCCCCTAGGACCACGATGCCACCAATTTCCTCCCCTCCCTGACCAGGAGCCTCTTTGCAATGCACAAACTCTCTGCTTTCCCATGCTCATCAGTGATGCTGGTCCCAGCAGGAGCGCCACGCAAGCCCCTCTGCACCCCAGGATATGAGCCACTGCCCTCCCCCGCCCCAGTGGATAAGTCTGGGTCCCCTAAAACTCTCTGCCTTTTCATGTTCATTAATAGATATCCTTCGCCTGAACCTACTTCCCCTCTCTCAGACCAGCAGAGGAAAAATGGGGCCCCGCTGAAAATTTACTAACACCCACCCTGCTTTGTTCGGATGCCTATACACCCTGGCACTGCCCCCAAGCCTCGGGCATGACACTTACCCTGTGGACCGCATGGGATGCTGGGACCCCTTGGCTCCTCTCCCCCACCAGACTGTCAAGCTCTGCGTGGCCGTCCTCTCAGTCCCCATGCTCCCAGGGCCTCCACTGCAGATGGTCTGGGATCTGAACAGATAGCTGCAGCAGCGTGAAGCCACCCTCAGGGGAGGTGGGTGTCCAGACCAACAGCAGGCAGGACCCGGCAGACCCCAGTCTCATGTTCAATAATACTCTGAATTCTTTCCAAGCTCAGCACTGTCAACAAATGATCCAGCCATGGACCTGGCAGGGAAATGATGGAAACGGGACACTCCCACAGAACCCTGGGAGCCTACTTTCATATGACAGTCTGGATATTCTGGGATGAGCCACACTATTGCAGGCCTGCAAGATGTATAAAATGAAAAGGGGATGGCAAACCAAGTGTACATTTTGGTCAAAGAAGATACGTTTGGACTAGCTGCCACTCGCTGTAGAGGGCAGGGGGCTTACTCACTCTTAATCCAAATGGTTCTTCATGGGAAGCCTTCCTGGAGCTGTGCACCAGATGGAGTCTCCTACTTTCATGGTTTCCTAGCATTCTCAGCTTCCTCTCCCTCACACTCATGATGATCAGTACCTATCAAGTTGTTTGTGCAAAAGCTCCCACGGGTGCTGGAACTGTACGGTGCACGTGGCTGTGGCTCACGATTGGCATCCAGGCTGTGCGGTGTCCTGAGCTCCTGCAGGCACCCTAGCAGGTGTGCAGTGACCATGGGCCAACACAGCAATTCGGGCAAGTCTGGGCTCCAGGCTGTGACTGTGGCTGTGATGTATACCGCCCCTGGTTTACCGGGCTGCAAACACAGGGGTGCCCGAAGTTCACCCGGCCTGAGGATGAGGGCTGGGCATCTGCTTGGTGCCCGAGACTGTGAGTCCTGTACACAGTCTTGTGGGGAGCCCAGTGTAAATGTGGACGATCAAAGCTTGTAAAGCCCCTGGCAGGGCACCCAGGGAGAAGGTGGAAGTGACGCATGCAGAGACAGCGTCACTATGGGCGCAACACAGAGCGGCATCTTGGAGGAAGAACAGGCATTTTCCAGCAGCAGGAGGGCCTGTGCAGGGCCCAGTGCAATGCAGGACTAGGGAGAGGAAGTTGCTCAAACTGGACACAGAGGAGGTGGGGATGGGTCTGAGGAAGCTGTGAATGTGGCCTTGGTCCTCAGCTAGGGACTCTGGACGTACACTGTGAGCCAGGTGAGCCAGCAGAGACCCTGCCACAGAAGAACAGCATGGCCAATGTTCTTCTGTTTTGGGTTTTTTAAGAACCTTCTATGGCCAAGTGGAAGACAGAGGAGCTGGCAGAGACCAGCGGCCAGGAGGACTCTGAGCAGGCACTGCTCTGGGGTGAGGCAATGGGTGTGGCAGGATCTGAGGGCCTAGTTGTTGGGGATTCTCTCAGGCGGACAGGGCAGGGAGAGGAAGGGTGCAGGGCTGTGCACACAGGGATGCATTCTCTTCTTAAAACCCTGGCATGCCAGGGTTCAGAAGAGTTATGTAGCTACAGGCACGGTCTGAGCACCTTACCTGCTCACCACAAGAGCCCCAGTTCACATGAGCGGCAGATGCTGACACTCGGCCAGGACCACGGACCAGGGATATGTGGCTTCCTGCACTGGTGGCTGCCGGGCCTTCCATGCTAAGTGGGGCAGGGGCTGCTCCTCCCTGTACTAAAACCTCTGTGACTGATCGTGATGAGACCCAGTGAGTGGCGGCTTTCACCTCCCATTTTCACAGAAATTTTGCACTTTGCCCTATGATACAGCACAAATCTGAAACTCTTCAAATATTTCCAAATATCAAAGACTAAAATCCACTACGGGTACAAAATTGTACGAACCTGACTGAAAGTTTAAGGCATAGCTCCCAGTGAACTGCTGTGGAAAATATATCTTTATATTTTTCTGAGCAATGTTTTTTAAAATAAAGAAAATTCTTTCTGAAAGGAAAACCCTGTGGAGTACCCAGTGGAAGGAAATTGTAAAAGAACAAATACACAAGTGACTTTGCATCTTGATAACATCCTGTCTTCAGGAAAACAGAAGAGAGAAGATACTTTTCTCCTTTTACCTCCAATCCCTCTACTTCGCTCCTATTTAAAAACCATTTTATTGAGGTCTGATTGATAGGCAAAAAGCTGTGCATGTTTAATATCTACAACCTGATAAATTTAAAGACAGGGCACATCCAGGAAACTATCGCCACACTCTATGCCATAAATGTTTTTATTACCTACAAAAGTTTTCCCTGCTCTTATTGTTGTTATTTTTGTGTGATAAGAACATTTAACATAAGACCTACCGTCTTAGCAAATTTTTAATTATACATTACAGTTATATTAATTGTAGGTCCTACGCTGTAAAACAGATCTCTAGGACTTACTCATTTTTCTTAACTGAAACTTTGTAAAAGTGGAGGCAAGAACTGCTCCTAGAATGGACCACCTATCTGCAGTGTGCAGTCAATGGAGAGTCCCATCCCCAGGCTCCCAGGTGGAAACTGGCTGGGAGCAGGGTGGCACAGATGCCAGAGACACACCTCCTGCCCAGCCTCTCATCTGCCAGACCTCCAGCGCTCTGATAAGCAAAGCTGGCCCAGCCCTCCAGAAACCTTGGCTCCCTGCTGTCATCACAGAGCTCCCTGGCCTGTGCCCTAAGGGAGTCCACACTACCTACCACAGTGTGTAGGAGTTTTAGACGGCTATGGCAATGTTTCATAAGAATTAAGAAACAGCGGGCCGGGTGCAGTGGCTCACGCCTATAATCCCAGCACTTTGGGAGCCGAGGCAGGTGGATCACGAGGTCAAGCGATCGAGACCATCCTGGTCAACATGGTGAAACCCTGTCTCTACTAAAAATACAAAAAATTAGCTGGGCATGGTGGCGCGTGCCTGTAATCCCAGCTACTCAGGAGGCTGAGGCAGGAGAATTGCCTGAACCCAGGAGGCGGAGGTTGCGGTGAGCCGAGATCACGCCATTGCACTCCAGCATGGGTAACAAGAGCGAAACTCCGTCTCAAAAAAAAAAAAATAAGAAGCAGCTAATTCATTTTGACCCTGGGATGCCACTGTAGTGTGTGTGATATGCACTAAACAGACCAAATGTGACAAAACCCTCTACCGCCGCAGTCTTTGTAAGTATCTGGAGTACTAGTAACTCCACAATGAATACTTACTGATCGCATGAATAAAAGGCAAAACGTGACAAAACAAAACAAATTATTAGCAATAATAAAATACCTAAGCAAATTACTGTTTAGTAATATAATTAGTATTTAGTCCAGAAGCATTAAGAATGGCAGAGGCATTACTGCTCCTACACAGAAATTTATATGTGAAATAATGTTTAAGGAAAAAGGCAGAGAGCAAATAATATGCTTATACAAAGTACATCACATGCATATGTGGCACACTGATAACTGTGTAAGAATATACGGTGATGGGCGTACGATAACCTTATGTTTGTTATCTGCACAAATGCACAATGGAGGTGGTCATCAGAGCTCAAAAAATGAGTAGCACGCCTGAGTTCTCCCTCTTCTGGCACATTCTGCAGCAGTACCCTTTACAAATGTCGGCAGAGGACGCACACTGAGGTGGGGAGAGACAAGGACACGACTGGCTGACCTGGGCCAGGATTTGGGGGCTGCCTGGTGTAGGACACGTTGAAGGCTGGCTCCTCGATCAGCGGTGGGGGGTACATGCGCCTCCGGATGAAGAAGCCGGCTCCGCAGCAGAAGAGCACGCCCATCATCAGGAGGAACCTGAGGAGAGCAGAGACGTGAGCGGGTGCCCCGAGGACTCGGCCCTGCAGCTTAAAGGCCTTGCGCACTCCTCGGGGTCCAGGACCAACGACTCCTGAATGCACGGATCGGACGGCAAGGGCGGAGCCACGAGGCTCACACCTCAGACTTGGTCCTCTCATTTTACCCAGGGCCATTCCTCCAGTGGATGGCAGCAGGCAGACGCCTGACCTGTGGCTTCTGGACAGCCCCAGGTGAGGTCACCCACACTGAGAAGCACCGTAAGTGAGCTCTGTCTCAGCTCACACGCCCAGCCGGTTTCAGGAAGCTCAGGCAGTCACTTCCCTGCCCTCGGCCCTGACCTCAGCTGGACATTTTAGAACAGGAAATGCTGTCTCAGTCCTATCTGAACATCACAGCCAACGCAGCCTGGACCTCGCCGTCTGCCTCCGTTTTCCATTCTTCACTGTCAAAGCACCAAGGCAGAGCCCGTTCATTCTTCCAAATTGTGTCTCCACTGTCACATGAACAGCCACAAGGAAACAAAAGAACGCTTCCTGGAGCACACCTTAATTACAGAGAAACTACAGGAACAGAAATACAACCAATAAAAGTGGAATCGATAGAAATGTAATCTATCAATAGAAATAAAATACAATCAATAACAGAAGTAGAGCTGAATGCTTTCAGGGCAGACCTTTGTCCAATGCACCTATGAATTCTCAATGACTATGACTTCATCAGCATTCAGTAAATGTTTGCAGAATGACTGCATAAATGGCTTCCTTCCATTCCTCATTTGCACTATACTTTTTGTTTCTAGAAAAAGAGACACTCTTTGAGAAGGACTATTAATAGACAAAACTGACAAACTGGCAAAACTGGCAAACTCTTGTCCATCTCTGGACTGAAATTATGACGGGCCCCATGGAGTCGTCCAGAAGCCATGCAGACACCCACAGGGTGAGGGCAGCTGCTCCCCTGTGAGGATGGGCATGCAGCAGAGCAGGTGGCGGTCAGTGGCACCAGTCCACACATAAAAGAAGCTTGAGAGTGGATGATAAAGCCTTTGAGAATATTAATGTGATGTTAAGTGCAAGGCCATCAGCCAGTCAAGAAGTATTTACTGGATAACCCTGGAAGGCTGCGCAGGGAGAAAAGCAGAGGCACGAGACAGGAAGGACTCAGGAAAGACGGAAACTGTGGCCTCTGTCATCTGCTTTCTTATTGATTATTCATTCAACAAGTCATCTTCAGGTGCCGTCACCACCCTGAGCACAGCAGTGAGTAGGCAGGTGAGGCCTCACTTCACTGACACTGAGCTTACAGAGGAGGGAGACAGATACCAACCCATACAACTAGTTATCTATGACCTCATAAGTGCTAAGAAAGAAAAATGGGGGATGCAAGAAGTCTGTGTGGGAGGGAGGGGCGTAAAATATACATAAATATAATTTACTCTTTTAATCAATTTTAAGTGTGTAATTCAGTGCACCGAGAGGTTTGAACAACAGTATCTGCAGTGGTGAGCAAGACTGGGAACTCTGGGTTTCCTTTGGTGACAGCTGGGCTGGGCTCTGAAGAAGAAGAGCCAAGCTGAAGGGGAGAAAGGTGGAAAGAACACTGGCCAGGTGCTGGGGCCGGAGAAGCTCAGAGCAGGAGGCCTGGAGGCTTGGTCCCGAAGATGGGCAGAGGAAGCAGCCGTGGGGAGCCAGGAGGACCCAAACCATTCGGGGGCACAGCAACGTAAGGCTTCACGTGCTCCGCATTAAGAAAACACTCAAGTTCACAAAGGGAACGGCTTCCTCTCCCAAAACTGATGTCTCTCAGGTGGGCTCAGTGACAGTCTTACACTCAACACTGAGTCCTGCTGTCAGTATCTGGGTAGAAAATACAAAGCACAGAGGGGCTGGATGTGAACAGGGTTTACTTTCTCAGCGCCGCTTCCAAGAGGCAGGGGTCCCTGGGTTGAAAAATGCAGAAGGCACCTGGTGTCATCCAAGAGATAAGCTAACTCCTGCCAAACAGGAGTAAGAACATTTCGTTTTTCTAGACAGAAGGAAAGGACATTGCAGCTCCCACCTTAGTCCGATGGAAGGCAAGCGTAAGGCAAGGCCGGAACAGAGCCGCCTGGGATCCACCTCATCCCTTACTGAAATCACAGTCTGATCATTTACTTTATTCATTTATTTTAAAAATTTATTTCAAATAATTTCTGGTAGAGACAGGGTCTCACTATGTTGCCCGGTGATCTCAAACTTCAGCACTGCGCCTGGCCAAGAACTTATTTTAAAAGAGAGAAACTAATAAAGGGGCAGGAGAAAGCGCTTCTAAAACAAGGAAAGCGACAAGGAAGGCAGTTCTCGCAGTGCTGGGAGTGCAGGCTGGCTGTTGCCCAGATGTCCTCTTTGGTTGCTCAACAGGTTTTGGATGTTTTCAAAGGGATTAAGAGAGGAAGTCTGTGCTTTTTTTTTTTTTTTTTTTTTTTTAACATTAGAAGTTACCTGATTACTTAAGTCAATTTGTTTTTTGATTCCTCTCCCCGACCCCCCATCCCCAATTGCAGCAGTTCTCAATTCTGCAGTCCCAGGGATGGGTGCAGCTGCTGTGCAAGCCCTGCCCAGGCCCCACTCGGGACCCCGCATGGGACCCCTGCTGTGGGCTCACCTGCAGTGCCAGCTAAGCCAGTCCTCACTCGGGCCCACTGGGCTTTCTGAGTCTACTCAAGGGTGTCACCAGGCAACCTTCTCTACTCTTGATGATTCCATCCAGATCTCCTTGGTGAAAGGTTCCTCCCGATCTTAGAGTTGGCAGGAACCCTAAAGGCATTCACCTTCAAAACCTTTGTTTTATGGTCAGGAGACACCTTCAAACATGGCTGAGGTGCCCAGGCTGCAGAGCAGCTCCTCCCTCCCACCCTGCCCCTTCCTCCTCTCCACCAAGGCCTATCCTCACCACACAGGCTTCCCATCACCTTTTAACACGTCCACTCTTCTTACGCTCTGGCCCTGCAAGGTGCTGTCCCTCTACCCCGAATGCCCTCTCTGAAGACCCCATCAAAAGTTTTGTAGCTTTCTTCAACTTTTCTGGCGTCAGAAGTTCTGTGCTCTGGCTTGAAAGTGTCCACACATCATTATTTACCTAGATGTCATCTCCTTCAGGGTCTGTCTGCCTAAGGACCTCTCCATAAGGACCCAGCACAAATACCTGGTGCCTATCAGACCCAATGTTGATTGAGAGAGAAAATGCATGGGGTGGAACCCAGGCACCCTTTGTATCAGGTGAGGCACTGCAGCCTCACACCCCAGATGCTCCTGTCTGCATCACCAGCTTGGAACCCTGTGTCGGAATCTCAATGTTGATGACTCAGCCCCATCTTCTGACATCTGGCACTCAGACCTTCCAATAGCCCGACCTTGTGCAATGGGACTCAGGGGAGCTTCTCCAAATGGGGCCCACCAAGTCGTCGTGTGCCACCTCGCCAAGTTGCCCTGTCTCTGACAGGTGACCCTGGCCAGTAGCTAGGAAGCACCTGGCTGCCAGTGCAGGTACAGCTTTCTGGGCAGCCCGACGGAAGGGGACAGGCCTTACCAGTTCTTCTGGACTTTCTCAAATTTCTCTTCTTTTTGATCATAAAATACCTGAACACTGACAAGCTTTTAAATTTTTTACAAGCATTCCTATGGCCTCATCATCATTCATCTGGTGCTTCAGACCAACCCAACACCCTCACAAGCCCATTCACAGTTCAGGGTTTCACACTCCAAGTGGTCCTCCTCCTTCCACCCCGAGGTCCTAGGAGGATGATGCAGAGGGAAGGCGTACCTTTCAGCTGGGCCTTGCCCTGCCCACTGCCGCCCCGCCCCCCCAGCTCTGGTACTGGCCCCCTCCACCTGGAGATGCACACAAAGGCATTAACTTTTGGACAGTCTTAGGCTACAACAATAATTCTTCTGTTACAGAGTTTTAGGCACTGGCACCTCTGTGGTATGGGGACCTGACACCAGCTCCCTGGTTCGGGGGACACAACTAGGCAGGGCTTCCCAGGTTGGTCCTAAGGGAGGCCTGGCCAGCAGCTCTAAGGTCAGGTGAGGCCAAGGAGGTGGTGATGAAAGAAGGTATCACGATTAAAGAACAACCTGGTCACATAACATGTAGAGTCCCCACTCCCTATAGGCTTCCCTAATCAAACCCTGGGCACAGGTGTTAAGGGAGAAAGACAAAAAGTGACAAAAATTCAGGTGGCTGCTGTCACATGCTCAGTAAGGTCTTAAAGTCTCAAAAGGTCAGTAAAGTCAGAATCTTCACCTCATAAAAAAAAGCTTGCATCATGCAGAGAGCAAACTCTAACCCTTTCTGGAGTTTACTGAAGGGCATCACTACTGCATGGGAGAAGAGAGGCAGGCAGGTGCAAGAAACGCTGCTTTGGTTTTAAATAAATCCTTTCCCACATGTGCTCTGCCACCCTGGCATCTCCAGAGTCCAACAGATGCTCGGACCACCCCAGCAGGCATCCTCAGGCTCTTGCCCACAGGAGGCTCCCCCCACAGAAAACGCTCCCACACTTCTCAAATGCCGCGGGCATCGCTCTGGTTCCTGCTCAAGGAGCAGACATCAGACTGCTCCGTATGCACCCCAGAGGAGTCGGAGGAGTCACACGGGTGCAGGCTGCCTGCCTTGAAAGCGCAGAGTCAGCCGACACAAGATGGATGGGGAAGAGTCTGGGCAACGAAAACTTGATCGCCTGCCAGTCTTGGCTGGCTGATTCTCTGATTCTTCAAGACAGCCTTGGCTCCATTTCAGAAACTAGCCAAGGAGCTGCCGAAGGATGAGGCTGTTGTCCAGCCACCTTCCCGGAAGCAGAGACCTTCTTCCCACTCCAAAGTCCGTGGAAATGAAAATAGCTTCCCTTAAACTCTGTGCGGGCAACTGCTGGTGACAAAGCCGACCCAAACATACCCATTTTCCTGACCAAGGCTGTCCTCAAGGCCACCACCCAAGGGAAGGTGTCACACCCACGGTTGTGACAATGCTGACAGGGGCAGAGCTCTCAGGGTGGGGAGCAGGGAGTTTCAACCTACCAGAAGTACCACAGCCTCTGTATGGAGAGGGCCCGCACGCAGCACCTGGAGCCACAGCAGTCCTCGTAGGAGCGGCATCTGTGGAGAGAGGCACAGGCTGGGCTTCAATGTCGTCATTCTTGAAGGAAGAAATCAATAAGAGCAAAACGGACAGAGCTGCTTCCACTGCATTTCACAGAACCAGCAGGGCAGACAGACATCAGCCTGTGGCCCAGAGCAAGGTGCTGAGACGGGCACAGTCAGTGTGATGCAAAGCTCCACGTTTACCAAGCATCCTGTGTGCCAAATCCCAGCGGATTCCTTCTGGGAGGCGGCATGACCAAAGACGGGCATTAAGCCTACCAGGAATGCTGCTGGGGGAGGCTCCGAGGCAGCCCAGCACCTGTATGGTGCTCATCTCTGCTGTCTTCAGTCCCTGACTATGGGGAAAAGATGGAATACCCCACCACGTCCACTGAGGCGAAAAGCAGGGGCTGTGGAGTTGGATAAATTGCAGCTGTGGTCCTGGTCCTGCCATTTACTAGCTGTGGGACTTCTGGTGAGCCTCAGTTTCTCCATCAGCAACACGGGTGGAATGGCAGGGGCACTGCACAGCACTGATTTAAGCTTTGAGGCCTTCATCACCATATCAAGCGCTGATGGCATTATTACTGCTCGTGCTGCCTCCCTCCCCTCACCCCCCAATGTGGGTGACGTTTCCAGGCCCCTGGCAGGGCACAGCTCTCGGGGCTGTGCTCAGAAGCGGTTTCCAGAGAGCTGCCTGGGCATGGGCCCTTGCGCAGGTCTCAGGTGAGGCACTCAGTGCCCTCCACATCTCTGCCCTTCCCCAACTCTGTGTCCTCCCTGAAGGGAAAAGATGCCACAAAAGCACAAACCCTTCAGTTTTACAGAAAAGTTTTCACTAGAGCATTTTGAACCCAACTGCTTTGGCAGGGATGAGGGGCAAGCCATTTCTCTACAGTATTAAACTACTACCTAACTGTGATCTAGGTTCCTGCCAGTTTGTCCTTTAAAAAAAAAAGTGGCTGGGAGAAACATACAATTCAGTCCAAGGTCTTGGGCACTGAATGTGTAGATTATTGCAGTACATGGGGTTGTTTTATGTAGAAGTGGTGCAGAAAACTAGTTAAGATGCAGAGTGAGATCACAGCGGCCTGGAACGCAGCAGACCCAGGCTTCAAAGCTGCTCTTCCCTGGTTGTGCACCCAGTGGGCCCGAGGCTCCCAGATATGGTGCTGCCTCTCCAAACACCCAGCACCCAGTGGCAGCTAAATCTTCTATTGTTTCAAGGACAAACTGAGCTGAGAGACACTCCCTCCCCACTCCAGCCCAACGCCATTCCACAGCTAATATGGCAGCATTTACATCCGGTCTTCCCCCGGCCCATGAACATGAATTCCTACCCACTACCCAAAGTGTTGTGATTTCCATGAGATGCTCCCACTGGCCCCCACTGAGAGTTACCTAAATGAGTGCTCAAGAATGCTGCTGGTCCTGGCTGGGCGCAGTGGCTCACACCTGTAATCTCAGCACTTTCGGAGGCCGAGGTGGGTGGATCAATCACTTGAGGTCAGGAGTTCAAGACCAGCCTGGCCAACATGGTGAAACCCCATCTCTACTAAAAATACAAAAATTAGCTGGGTGTGGTGTACGCACCTGTAGTCCCAGCTACTCGGGGAGCTGAGGCAGGACAACTGCTTGAACTTGGGAGGCAGAGGTTGCAGTGAGCCGAGATAGTGCCACTGCCCTCCTGAGACTCCATGCATCCAGCAAGCAGGCACGAAAGGGCTACTAGGAGTCTGCTCTGTGCTTTCCCGAGGGTGTAGCAGGGAAAACCCAGAGGAAACCCCTGCTGGGAAGGGTTTTCTCTCTAGAAGGGGGAGAAAATAGTAAACAAGAAAATATGAACTATATTACACAGTAGTAAGTTCTTCTATGGGGAAAAATAGAGACGGCCCTGGCAGGTTGAGACCACGAGGCAGCAGGGTGCTCAGGGAGGACATGTGCAGCAGGTGACCTCTGAACAGAGAGCATGCAGGAATCCAGTCTGGCAATGAGGAACACTGGCACAGGGCCTCAGCACTCAGGATGGGGGATGCTGGCCCCTCCACCCTAGTGCTCCTGGCTCCACGGCTGCGTGCTGGAGCACAGGGTGTGAGTGAGCGAGACACCTGTGGGGCTGCTGAATCTGGGCCAGAGCCCTGTGCAAACAGGACCTTCTGCAGTTCTTCTGGGCCTTCCCCTGGAATCTCATTGGTCTTAGGTGACCAATGTGTGTGTACCTATGTGTGTGGAGGAGAAGGGAGCAGTTGGGGGAGATGAAGGACTCCTTGCTTTTAGCGTTGGTGGAGTTTAGACAATTAACTGTAAACTGAAAGAGGTGTGACTGTTTCCTCTCGTGAGTGTGCAAAGACAGGCATCCTCAGCACTGTGGTGAGGTACATGGTGAGTGCAGGAGTGTGGAAGGCAGAATGCAACCATGGCCCCAAGAATGGCACCCCTCAGAGGACACACCCTGCATAATCCCCTCCCCTTTGGTGGGCAGGACTCTGTGAATATGGGATGGTCACTCCCACGATCACGGAACATTAAATGAGATGGTGTGTTATCTAAGTCTCTGCCCTTGCAAACTGGAGATTCTCCTGCTGGCTTTGAAACGGTATGAACAGCAGCCACGTTGGAGGGCCATGTGGCCAGGACTGAGTGTGGTCTCCAGGCGCCAAGAGCAATCCCAGCAGGACCTCAGTCCTACAACCACAAGAAACCGAATTCTGCCAGCAACCCAAATCAATTCAGGAGGACTCCAAGCTCCAGGTGAGAACGCAGTCCAGCTCACTGCTTAATGTCAGCCTCATGAGGCGGCCCTGAACCCAGAACCCAACGGTGGTTTCCCAAACTTGAGATCTATAGAGCTGTGTAGTAATAAGGGTGTGGTGTTTCAGTCTGCTATATTTATAGTGATTTACTACATAGTAACAGAGTTGAGAATACAGCTTACAGGTTATGAGCACTTCTTACCTCACACCAGGTTAAGTGCTTCACAAACGTCTCAATTTTGAAACATCCATATACAAAGTAAGTATTATTAGTGCCACATCTGAAATAAGCTTAGAAGCAAGACATCAGGGATGTTGCACCTCCAGCCCGGGTCACGTCGGCAGAAGCCAAGAGTGGACTTGGCCAGCATTTCAGGAAAGCATTTTGCACAGACGCTGCCTCTCCAGTACCATGGAGCCTTCCATGACCAAAGGGTCACCTTCTCTATCCCTACTTGATTTTCCTATTCTTCAGCCCTGCTTTTATAAACTGCTGTGGAAATTTCAAAAGCCACGGTAACAGAGACAATATGTAAAAAACAGAGATCCGAGGCCAAATGGCTGGAGGTCCCTGAGACAGGACCCACAGATGGGAATTCAGCAACCACTCTTTAATAATGCCTGCATGGTTCTTCGTTCAGCTTGGAACTGCATATTGACCAGAGAGATTCCCAGAAAAGCCGGTATCATGTGATGTCAGTAATGCTCTACAGTTAGCAGATAACTTAATCACAGAGACAAAGTAAGAAGTGACATTAGGCGAAAGGACAGTGTTGCCTTGCAGTGAACGGCGGACGCTCCCGCAACATTAGCTGATTTCAGCTGCTGTGGGCCCACTGGGAGATTGTAAAACCACGTTATATGGCTGCATCGTACAAAGGTGAAAAACAACTGAAAAAAAATCAGGCCGCGCACGGTAGCTCACACCTGTAATCCCAGCACGTTGGGAGGCCGAGGCGGGTGGATCATGAGGTCAGGAGATTGACACCATCCTGGCCAACATGGTGAAACCCCATCTCTACTAAAGAAACACCAAACACAATTAGCTGGGCATGGTGGTAGGCGCCTGTAGTCCCAGCTACCCAGGAGGCTGAGGCAGGAGAATTGCTTGAACCCAGGAGACGGAGGTTGCAGTGAGCCGAGATCACGCCACTGCACTCCAGCCTGGCGCCTGGCGACAGAGCAAGACTCTGTCTCAAAAAAAAAAAAAAAATAAATAAATAAAAAAAAAAACAGGGGATATCACGTTTGTGAAACTTGTATTTTGGTCAGACATCCGCATACATGCACAAAAATCTACGTGTGCCAGGCTGTGACATAAGGCACGCTTCTTCACAGCTACTGTCAGGGAAGCCCCAAGTGGACAGGTTCAAGCTTCTGCTGTGTCCAGGGCTGGCTCCTTTCGTCCTCCTGGGAGATTCTGGGTGGCCCTCAGGCCAACCTGACTATGAGGTCACTTTCTGCTGTCAGTAGTGCTGGGCTAAGGTCCTTCTGTCCTTGTCTTTTGTCTAGGTGACACTGGCTTTAGTCAAATGGCTATTGCCATTTTTTGCCCCTAATTGTATTATACACTGTCCTGAAGTGATCAAATTCTAGGAGATACAACTCTCATGAAGACTCTCTCAAATGGGACACCCTGGCTCACTGCCTACCATGAACAGCCTCTGCTGTGGGTGCTGACAGTCAGGGAGGGGTGAGAAGGGTGGGGAACAGAGGCGACAGACACCTGCAGCTTAGGGGAGCCGACCATGACCCTCTGAGCTCCTGCTGATTCCCTCCCACTGCTCCAACACCCTCTGCCACCTGTGATGCTCCTGAGTCTCTCCCTCTCAGGTTTCACCCCGACTCTAACGGCAGCTGCCCCAGCTCCCAGCACAGCCAATGCTGAAGAGGTATTAATGCTGGTCTCCTCAATGCTGGCAGTCATGTACTTCATATAAAAGAGGAAAACAGGTATACGATAATAAATTTGGTGACTGAGTCATCTTTTGTGAGCTAAATTTGCTAAAATGCTTCCCTTTCAGCTTTACAAGGAAGCATTTGCTGCCTGGAAACCTAAGCCCTACGGCATTCTATATCCCATGCTGGAGGAAGCAGACTACCAGCTTTCAGACATATGCAGAGCCCTCGTCCAGAATTCACACACATACACCCCTCAGCCTGAGAACATATCCCTCCTAGAATATTTAGAGTCTAACGGATTACAAGTTCCTCTTTGTTGGCAAGATTAAACATCTATGTGCTCTAGCTCACTTTTCAGAA